TTTTCTCTACACTTTTAAACAATAACACAGTAAGACCTTAACACCTTTATAGCTAAATTTCGCATCTAGAATAAAGGTCTTTACCTTAGGATGCTTTAGATCACCTCTCTACCAAAAAACTACTCAAAAACCCTTTAAAATCCTTGAAGGATTGGATGGAAAGTAGAGAGAAAATGGTGAATGAGTATGGCGGTGGAAGAAGAAGAATGAAAGGGTTTCTAAGACTTAACCCTTATTTACTCATATTTTACACCTTTATTCCCAATTTACCCTTACTATTTCTTAGGAATTCCACCTTTGCCCTTTTAATTCTTTGCAAATGTACCCCCATTTAAACTATTCTCCATGCAATTTCCTTACATTTTACTCCCCACTTTTCTTGCTAATTAGGGGTAGAATGGTCATTGTGTCCTAAAGGAAGAATTCTCTAGAAACTTAATAAACATTTTTGTCAGGCCCTTTGCCGCGGCGAAAAATCTTTCTTCGCCCCAGCGAAAACTTACAGAACCTACACCTTAGATTGCAGGACTTCCTCACCGCGGCGAAGCTTATTCTTCGCCCCGGCGAAGTTTGTAACACAAAAATTTGCCAAAGTCCTTACAGATTTCAGGGCAACCACTCAACCAACTCACAATATCAATTCAAGCAAGGATCAACCAAACTATAACAACAACAAACAAACTCAAATGAGGACAAAACAATAAGCATTCAAGTAATACAACACAATTAAACTACGTACCTTAAGTGGGGCGTTATAATTCTCCCCCCTTAAAAGAATTTCGTCCCCGAAATTCACACAAACAACTCCGGGTAATGATCCTGCATGTCTTGTTCTACCTCCCATGTGGCCTCTTCTACTTTATGGTTTCTCTAAAGGACTTTCACTAACGAAATACTCTTATTGCGAAGTTCTTTAATCCTTCGGTCTAAAATCTGAACTGGGCGCTCTTCATACAAAAAAATTCTCTTCTAAAGCAATGTCCTCTATACTTAAGATATGGGAGGGATCACTTATGTACTTCCAAAGCATTGAGACATGAAAAACATCATGCACCTTGTCCATGCTAGGTGGTAGTGCCAATCTGTAGGCTACCTTGCCCACTCGCTGCAATACTTCAAATGGACCTATATATCTCAGTGCCAACTTCCCTTTGCTTCCGAAGCGCATTACCCGCTTATAGGGGGAAACTCTTAGAAACACTTTGTCACCCACTCTAAACTCTACATCTTTTCTCTTCAGATCAGGATAAATTTTCTGTCTGTCTTGGGCTTGCTTCATTCTGTTTCTAATTAACTTTACATCCTCTATCATCTTCTGAGTTATTTCTAGTCCAAGAACTATACTCAACTGATCCTTCTCACCTATCTCATCCCAATGTAGGGGAGACCTACATCATCTACCATATAAAGCCTCGTATGGCGCCATCTTAATTGTAGACTGGTAATTGTTATTGTAGGCAAACTCCACTAAGGGTAACATCTCATGCCAGGATACTTTATAATCCATACAGCAAGCTCTCAACATATCTTCAAGCATCTGATTCGTTCTCTCCGTTTGGCCATCTGTCTAAGGATGGTAGGCGGTGCTAAATGCTAAACGAGTACCCAAATCCTTCTGTAAACTCATCCAAAAAGCTGAAACAAACCTGGAATTTCTATCTGACACTATTGTCTTGGGCACTCCATGCAACCTGACTATCTCCTTCATATAAATCTGAGCCAACTGATCCGTACTAGTGCTTTCCTTTACTAGAAGGAAATGGGCTGACTTGGATAGTCTATCTACAATCACCCATATAGCATTATATCCTTTCTGTACTCTAGGGAGACCTGTGATAAAATCCATCGAAATGCTCTCCCATTTCCACTCTGGAATACTAAGCGGCTGAAGTAACCCTGATGGCCTTTGATGTTCTGCTTTCACCTGTTGGCAAACTAGGCACTTAGCTACAAATTTCGCAATATCTTTCTTCAAACCTGGCCACCAATAGCCTTTCTTTAAATCTTGATACATCTTGGTTGCTCTAGGATGAGCAGTGTATGGTGTGTCATGAGCCTCCACAAGAATTTTCTTCTTCAACTCATCACTTGGAGGAATACACAACCTATTTCTGAAATAGAGGACACCATCCTTTAAATAAAACTTTGATGTCTTGCCCTCATACACTTGCTGAACTATTCTCTGACACCACTCATTGGCCACTTGCTTTTCTTTAACTTCTTCCAGTAAAGTAGACTGGATCTCTAACCTGGCAATCCATCTCGGAATTACTTCAATTTGCTCTCTACACAACTCTGCTAATAACTCTTTCTGCTTAGTGAGCCGGGACAAATAAGCTTTTCTACTCAAGGCATCAGCTACTACATTGACTTTCCCCGATTGATACTTGATCTCACACTCATAATCTTTAACTAGCTCTAACCACCTTCTCTATCTCATATTCAGCTCCTTCTGAGTGAAGAAGTACTTTAAACTCTTATGATCGGTGTAGATATTACTCTTGGCACCATAAAGATAATGCCTCCAAATCTTTAATCCGAAGACCACGGCTGCCAACTCTAAGTCATGCGTAGGGTATCTCGTCTCATACTCTTTTAATTGCCGAGAGGCATATGCTATCACCCTACCTACCTGCATTAACACAGCACCAAGTCCTTGCAAAGAGGCATCTGTATAAATATCATAGTCTACACCTTCCTATGGTAACACTAACATGGGAGTTGTCGTTAACCTCTTCTTCAACTCTTGAAAACTCTCTTCACATGCTTCTGACCATGTAAAAAGAGTTCTCTGTTTGGTAAGAGTTGTCAACGGTTTAGCCAATTGGGCGAACCCTACTACAAATCGCCGGTAGTAACCTACTAGGCCCAAGAAACTTCTGACCTCTTTTACTGTCTTCAGCCTTTGCCACTCAAGAATTGCCTTGACTTTACTCGGATCTACTGAAATCCCTTCCTTAGACACAGTATGGCCCAAAAATAATACTTGATCCAGCCAAAACTCACACTTGGAAAACTTAGCATACAGCTTCTTTTCCCTCAATCGTTACGACACGAATCTCAAGTGTTCCTCATGCTCTTCTCTCGACTTAGAATGAACCAGGATATCATCTATGAAAACCACTATAAACTGATCCAAACAATCATGGAATACCCGGTTCATCAAGTCCATAAATACTGCTGGGGCATTTGTCAAACCAAAAGGCATCACTACAAATTCATAATGCCCATACCTTGTACGGAAAACAATCTTTGCTACATCTTGATCGGCCACTCTTACTTGATGGTACCCTGACCTCAAATTAATTTTGGAGAACACTGCTGCTCCTTTCAACTGATAAAACAGATCATCAATACGAGGTAACGAGTACTTATTCTTCACTGTTACTTTATTCAGCTCTCTATAGTCTATACACATCCGCAGTGACCCATCTTTCTTCTTCACAAACAAAATTGGAGCTCCCTTGGGAGAATGACTTAGTCGGATAAAGCCTTTATCTAAAAGCTCTTGGAGTTGCTTCTTTAATTCTTAAAGCTCTGCTGGGGCCATTCGATAAAGGGCTTTAGATATTGGTGCTATTCCTGGTGCTAGTTCAATACTAAACTCAGCCTCTCTCTCTAGAGGCAAACCCGGCAACTCTTCCGGAAACACATCTAGAAACTCTCAAACTACTGGCACCTCTGAATCTCTGACTGAGGAACATCGCCACTTTGCATTACATGTGTAATATACCCTGAACACCCCTTTCTTAACATCTTTCTAGCTTTCATGCTACTAATTAACATGCTCAACTGATGACCCTCTCCAAAGCTAAACTTGTCTCCATTATCAAGATTAAATCTCGCTTTCTTTTTCCGACAATCAATCTATACTCCATTCTTCCCTAGGAAATCCATGCCCAATATGACATCAAAGTCGAGCATATCAAACACTATTAGATCCACTGCTAATTCTCGTCCATGGATCACTATCGACTCTCCTGATAACATCTCATGGGTCACAACACTAACCCCATTGGGTAACTCTATCTTAATGGGTTGGTTCACTCTAGTAGGTTTCAAACCTAATCTCTCTATCATCCCATAAGATATAAAAGAATGAGTGGCTCTAGAATCAATTAAAGCATATAAAGGAATAGCATGGAATAATAACTGATCAGTTACAGTTGATGGATTGGCCTCTACTTCACCTTGTGCCACTATAAACACTCTGGCACTAGTACCTCTAGAACTCTGAACTGTTGATGGGAGAGGAGCTTTACAATCCCTCCTCAAGTGCCCTGGCTGCTGGCACCGATAACACACGTTCTGGTCTCTCAAACACTCTCCTGAGTGGTTCCTCCCACATTTAGGACAAGAGGGAAACCCTTCTGTCCGAGGTCGTTTACTCCTCCAATCCCTTCTATTCTGTCTAAGCTGAAACTTCTTTTTATTACTCTTCATTTCTTTGCTCTTTCCGCCCTCAACTTTTTCTCTATGTGGGGCGGATGAGGTTCACTCGATCCTTCTATTGAGGGACCTACTAGGGTGATCTTGTTCTCAAATATCTCCGCCCTCATTGCTCGTCTCAAGGCCTCACTATAAGTTTGTAGACCTGGCAAAACGGGTGGGTGGGCCGGGTACGGGCCGGGTAAAACGGGTACGGGTAAAACGGGTACGGGTCTTATACGGGTGGATATATACGGGTCCAATATTTTGGACCCGTGCCCTACCCTATACGGGTACGGGTGGACCCGCGGGTGGACCGTTTTTTCTCTCTCCAGCTTTTGGTTTTGACAGTTTCACCCCTAACAGTTTTCAATTGTGACAATTACACCCCCAAAATTCCTGCAGTTTTAATTTTTTACATTTACACCCCCTAAATCAACTACTCTAAATTCAATTCAATTAAGAATATAAACAAATATGAACAAAAAAAAAACAAATAACACATAAACAAACAATAACATATAATACAAGACAAATTACAAAAAATAAATAAACAAGTAGAGATCATCAACTACAACCAAATTCAAGTACTCTTCTGCATTTCAACCACCTTCTTCCAGGATTCTCTACTGGAAATCTCACCCCACCATCTCCCCACGTTCTCTCTAGAAGTGAAGAGCTCTCCTCGATCAGTGGCATTCACTAAGTACTGGGTGTTAGGCAAGTGTGAAAGATCGGCCAAAGAAAATTCATCACCCGCCAAGAACTGAGTCTCGCCCAGCCTTTTTTCGTAAACATCAAGAACTTTTGCCAACTTCGCTTCGCTTTGTTTGATCAGACCCTCATCTTGCTTGAGCTTCATTCGAGGCGCAAATGCTAGTTGAAACACTAGAGCAGAACTAGGTAGGTTAAAGCTTTGCCCTTCAGCTTCCAACCACTGATCTATGGATGCTTTTGCCAATGGGTTTGTCCCGTACAATCCCTTATTACCCTTTTCTTTGTATTTCTCACATATATAACGACATATTGCTCGAGACTCTGGTCTCACATAAATGAACACAATTCCATAAATTATGAATACCAAATGGAAAACAAGGAAAACAAGGAATCTGATTAACTGAAATAAATAAAAATGGATAAAAGTTACCAAAGAGTGAGATGTTCTCATCTTGAAAAGCTGGTACTTGACCAAAGGGCTGTTACATTCGAAGTGAGAAACAAAAATACTGCATTTGAAAATAAAAAAGGAAATTCATTTGAGGGAGTACGTACCTGGATCTTGATAAAATCGGCCTTCTTGTGTTCGCCTTTGGCCAGGTTAATTGAAATGAGCTGAAAATCCACATCTTTCTCCAGGAGACAGGCCAGGACTCGAGACACGGCAGTGGAAAGTGGCGGACCATATACTTTTACTGGAGTTGCCATTGGATTTAGAATTTGTGATAGTTCAGTTAGAGAGAGTCCTGCTTCTTTCTTTTTACATGGCTTCCATGTGTCTTGTTGTTTTGTTTTCAACCATACAGAACCTTGAACTTGTCCCTGCCACTATATCCCTTACTTGAAGCAAGTAGTTACACTTACACATACACAAAAGGGTAAAAGCAAACCCAACTGTTGGGACCAAAATCACCAGGGGCTTCAGGCTTCAACGTAACCTGTATGTGCAAATACTGGTTAGCCCAAATGGAAATGGGCTTTTATTATCTATCCAGTTTTGATGTTATGATTAAGTGGACAAGCCTCAACAAGCTAAAATGCTGCTAAATCAATTCGGCGTTTCTGAATGCGAATTGTCCCTCGGTTTTGAATGTTCTCGTTAGGTGTTACCATGAAAATGCTGTGGTTTTCATTGATGCTTGATTTTGATATCAACAACCTTTAATTTTTATTGATGTTTGATTTTAACACCAATAATCTCATATATGTAAAGTATTAAGTAGGTCTTAAAAATTACACATGTTTAATATAAGATTTGGGTTAAGGTCACAGTTGCATGCAAAGACTAAATAATAAATGAGACAGTGAGAGTTTTTATTATGGTTTGGATGCTCAAAACGATTCTTGCAACTACTGTTTTCTTTTATATGAGTGTTCTTGGTGATTAGCCAAATTACAAGAGGTTGCGAACTACGAACAAAATTATAGAAGTTTGATATTCGAAGAGAATATTAAGTCAGTCTCTTTCCCATATGTTTGTCTTGGCTATTTGTTTTGTTCAAGTCAGCGATCTCGATTTTGTGAGGGGGAGTCCTCTATTTATAGCCACTGAATTCAAGGTAATGATTACAAGTCTATAAGTGGGTAGGTATCGTGCATGTCATTCCTTGCGTCCATTTGGCTAATAACTTAGGAAATATCCTTAAATTATATGGGGCTTGGATATGTGTGTAGACCACAATCATTCACAGACAAAACTTGAGCCTGCTGAGTTGGTGATAGCCGTATTCTCTCTGTCTTGGGGCGATATGGCAAATTCTGGGTAACGCAAAGCCTTCTTGAACTCTGATTAGTACTCACTAATATAAGCTTACATCATCCCTGATATTTTAAGCATAACAATTCTCTGAATGGTTTTGTTTGAGAGCTAAATATCAAAGTTGCATTAATTATGCGCCAATAGTTTCAGAAATTGCTCATATAGATGCAGAGTAGCTTATTTTTATTTCATAAACTGTGGTACACGGACACACGCTCACATATTTGACATTGTCCCCATCACCTTCTTGATCTAGGAAACTACAAATTAGAAACCTCTTTTTTTTTTGGGTTGAAGAAGCTACGATAACAAGTTTGCTGTTTATTAAGGCCACAATTGAAGGGTTTGCAGACTCCATGACGACACCGCCTTCTTTGATGTCACGTCATCACTGTAAGGATTATATAATTGGCCATGTAAAAAGATTTAAATACCATTGGCACAAGCAGTCCAATTTGAAGGAAGCCTATTTGATGTCAAATTTGGCATATTGCGGACATTCACATCAAGTGGTAGCATACGATATTCAATACCAAGATCTTTAAAGGCTCTGATCATTTCTTCAATCAGCTGTGCTCTCCTTGTTACTCTCTCTCCTGGGTTCTGAAAGTTCAATCTGTGTTGCACCCACATTGATATCTTCACTTTGTTCATGTCCTCAACCTCCGTCACCACCATCAGTGGAGATGGGTGCCAATGATCCCTTTTGCTTTCAACGTATCTGCACATAAAATTTATAGCCACTGGACTCATTACAATTAGGCCTCAACGAAATACAATTATTAGTAAAGACTAAAGAGGAAGCATCTCAAGGTATACCCTATTATTCTTTCTCTCAGGGTGGAAATTTTCTCCAATTGAGTGGAGATGTGGACACAGAATTCAATGGTCTCATACATATCTGGACTACGATAAAAGTTACCAATAGGCTTGGTGGCTAGAACACTGTTGGGGTACTTAATCTTTTGGTTATCATACCGAAGAAACACTGTTGTTAATATATTCATCTCTTCCACTATCATCTGAACCACAAAAGAAACACAAGTTAGGACCAAAAATCTCCTTTTAAAAAGAGATGCTAATTATACAGAGATTTTAAAGATTTTACCTGGACTCCATCCACTTCACATCTATCACCAACGTCGAATGGATGCATTATAAATAAGAAAATGATTGCTTCGAAAACTGTTCTGCAGCTATTCCCAAAGATAAATGCCACCAAGAGAACCTGGGAGCTTATAAAGACTAGGAAATGGGAGATGGGAATTCCAAGTATAGCAAGCCAGATTACAAAAATTATGATAGATACAATAATGTTCAACATGTTATGAAGTTCGTCCACAGCTGTTTTTGTGTCATTGAGAGACAATGCAAGTGCTTTTCGTTCTTTGAATGCATTAACCTAAAACAAAAAGAAGGGCAAAGTTCTTGATTCAGGAATGAGTTTAGTAAGAATATAAAACAAAGACATTTTCCCCGGGAGGAAAAGAGATTAATTGTAGTCGTCTTTTCCATTAAAGGTTGAAAACAGGATAAGCAAGTGTTAGATTTTAATTACCAGCCAGATGTTAAGAGCTTCTTTGTTGATTCCCTCATTTTCACATGGGGCTCCAAGGAGACGCTTTGTCTTTAAAGCTTCCCCTTCTCCCATAAAGCACATCAAATCGTCCAAGTATATGTATCTGATACAGAGATTGAAACAATAAATATCAGGAATAAACGAAATACTGAGAAGTCCATCATCAACTTTTTTACAGCTCTGATAAACTTTCTTTTTATGTTTACAATACTATAAGCAGTAATTGCAAAAAGTTATCTTTTGAGACAAAAATAATCTGGCCCTCTTATTTATAGTTTGAAATTATCTCAGTGGTCTCCTCTGGTTTTTTTCTTGTTCACCCTTCACTTGCAACAAATCCCAGAGAATATATACAAAAAACAAAAATAGTTGAGCTCCCGTCTAAACAGAGGTAATTCGAGTAAATATGATAATAATGCAAGAAAAGTCTTTAAACTAGGATTTACCATTTCAATGGCCAAGGAATGATAAAATTTGAGAGAAAATAGATTACACTTACGAGGACCATGGCTTAGCCACCTTCTGAAATATCTTCTTAGCTGCCTCTTTAGCCTGACATTCATTTTTAATTTCCAGTAAAGAGTCATCCTCCATATCAGAATTCAATATCTGCTCATCCAGTGTAGACAAGGACCCATGACTGATGATATTTATCATCCTCTTCATGTTCCAAGCAGATATATTCTTCCGGTTCATCTTATGCAGGTGATCAATTGGGATCTTATGATCTTGCTTTCCAGACATTGTCTTAGAGAATCTTGGTTTTCTTCCAACCGAACAGCATCTATCTGGTTTCCCATTCCCAATCCTTGGAAGCAGAGTTGTCCTGGGGTCACCAGGCATAGTAGCACCAGCGTTTCGAACTTCTTGAATCTCGGGAACGGCCCCTTCTTCTTGTGTGATACGTCTATCAAAACACGGTGGACCGGAGAGCGTTTCAATCACATACTGATTGAACAAAGCCTCCTGGATTCGTTCGAAGTAGGTATTCACATGGAATGATGAAGCCAGAACCTTAACAAGCAAGGTTTTTAAGAGCCATATTAAGGTACCCACCAAAAAACATACCAGTGTTCTACTCACGTAAGGCAAGATCTTACTCTTAGTCTCTTGCTCAACCTTGCGATTAAAAATACAGTTCCACCCAAACAAAACCAGACCCAGCCAGAGGCAATTCTGAACGGCCTTTCTCAGCCCATAAACGAAGTACAGAACACGTTTTCGCCAAAGAAAATTACGTTCAAGAAAGATCACCGCAACTCGAATTCCCCAACCAGAGACTAAACGTCCACAGATTACAGCCAAAAGCATAATCTCCCATTTCCATAGTGGAAGATCCCACAGTTTTTGCCCTTTTATGAAAGGAACTGAAAGGTTACAAATCAAGGCCCCTATAAGCACAAATAGACTTAGCCATTGAAGAATTGTCAACGTATTGAATTTCGGTTTTCTGAAATCATCTTGAATGTCTCCAATATCATCTTCTTCATGTTCGTGACTTCTCCCGGACCTATCATATTCTTCCTCAGGTGGGTCTGATAATCTAGACTTCGTCTTGTCCACTAAAGATTTCCATGAGTTTTTTTGAGAAAGATTTGGACTTCTCAACACCTCTGCTACACGCGAACCTGAAGACTGTTGACTTGTTTCATTGGCTGGCAAGTCCTGGCTTCTCTGCCGAACAGCTTCAGTTAATACTTCTTCAAAGGAAATTTTGGGTTTCTTGACTGGACCTGGAGGTCTACTCCTTGGAGATTCAGAGCTGGATTTTGAAGCGTTTTCAATTTCTTTTCCCGTATCATTTTCATTCTCAATCTTGACAACTACGTCTCTTTGGTCTCCAGAATCAAGAGACTGCGACATGTGAAAGTTTTTGTAGTGATACAAGAGAGGTTGTTGCTCTTGTTCCAGGCCTTGAGAATGTGTAGCATGAGAACGTTTTTCTTTCCAGGAACTTAACAAAGGAGTGAAAGGACGTTCCATTAGGAAAATTTAGACGTTACGTAGAGAATTACTGCCCATTTAAAACCCTTTTTCACTGCAAGGTTTGTGATAAAAAGGGGCGGGTAATATTCGTTAAATATAACAAATAATACTGTATGTAAAATCAAATATAAAATAAGATTTTAGTACATTTGAGTATTTGACTTATTTATTAATAGTTAAAACATATTAACATAGTGGTATAGACATAAACATATATCTGAATAGTCAAATAATTAGAAATAATATAAATAGATGTACTACCGTAGCAATGGACACTACTATTACAAAAAATATCTTTTTTTTTCGTTTTTTACTATATATACTATTTTGAGGGCTATTACCTCTTAAAAATATAAAGGAATGAGAATATTTATACAATATTTTATTGATCACTCAAAACATAGGTTAAAGTGGATTAATTTTCTTTCTATATCATATTCAGAAAGTGGACATGCTTACAAGATGGGTAATGCAAATAACACGTGGGCATCTAAAGTACTGTAGAGGGATGCATTGGCGGAGAGAACTGATGCTGAGAACGAGTTGCACTATAACTTTAGCAAAGTAAAAGTTGCTCCTTCTAGTATGATAAATTCTCTATGCTAGGTGTAGATTATTTGGAATTTGCTTTGGATTATCAATTCCTTTTAAGTCTCCCCACCTGACTAGGGTTTTCAAGTTTTGGTAATGAGCTTTCTGGGAATAAAATTGCTACATTGTCTCAATGGCATTTTCATTTGCTCCATTAAATGGGCATAAAACAAGAAGAATTTAATACTGATACTTTCTATTGAATGGGGGAATTTTCAGATTTTAGAAATCTCCTCACTTCCTCACATTTTTATGGATAAAAAGTCTGCATATATTCCGCAATATTAGCAACTTCATAATCAAGTTTGTTATCTCCTTTCGTTATCATTTGATACCCTATTCCCAAGCTTTAATTTTCCTTGTAAATACTCAAAACACCTGGCTGAACTGTATAAGCACCCTATTCCAGTTGATATATTATTTTATATCTACAGAAAGAAGTCTAGTGCGGAAGATCATATTTCTAAAGAGTTAAAAACATCTCATATTATGAACAAAATATCCATATTTCCATGCCCAGTCCGATGGCTGCCTCACGTAAAGCACTGTTACAACTCTTCACGGTAACTTATTCTTCGGCTATTCCTTTATTCTTTTCCAACCTGCTTCAACATTATGAAAGTTTCTAAAAGCACATTATGGAAACAAAAAGACTTGAGTCAATATTTTCTATACCTCCTTGCCAAGTACTGCAAAAATTCTACGATTTCTGGGAATTCAGGTCTCAAAGACGGGTCCTGCTGCCAGCATCCCTCAAGTAATTCAATGAATTCTGGATGAGTATGCCTAGGAATTTGAGGCCTTAGACCCTAATAATGCCACCATTAAGAGAGTTTTATTAGTTCAAGCTTGTTCTAAGCTTATAAAAAGCTATACATTCTGTAGTAATCAATTTAATGAACTCAAAGACGTATTGTAATCTACCTTTAGCGATCTTAATTGGCTTAATAGGTAGCAGTAAGTTAAGTTAAAGGGCATTTTGGTGGTTCATAAGCAATACCAAATAAATAGTCTTGAAGACTAAAATTTTCTTTTGAATGTGGTAATCCTAAGCAGAAGTTGTTTTGTGAAGAATACCTTCTGGACCACACCAACAGCTGCTTGTAAGGGGGTTAAGTCCTCGTATGGAAGCTGTCAAATGAAAAATAATAATAATAATAATTAATACATAACATCCATTGAAGCTAGCATTTTCCTAATGAAATGCTCAGTATTTCTACACAAAAAGTTGCAATACAGCGTTACCTTTCCTGTGAGAAGCTCCCATAGCACAACCCCGAAGCTGAAAACATCAGCTTTGTGATCATATGGTTTATGTTCAATTACCTTTCAAGTACACCAAATAAGCACATAAACAAATACTTTTGGGATGGTTCAATAAGTCCATGTGATTCATCCATCTGTCAGTTTAATCCGAATAATTATAGCACATAATTTATGGTGCTTAGTACTGAAAAATTCTGAAAAACCCAGGATATTTTCCCGCAAATATAATAACTTTACATGAGATTTAAATATAAAAACCCACAATTTCTACTGTCAGCAAAGTAAATCAAATGGTCAATGTCCATAAAATTGCAGAATACCAACCTCCGGTGCCATCCAGCGATACGTTCCAGTTTCTGCAGTCATCACTCCAGACTGAACTTGAACTCGAGCAACACCAAAATCAGCAATCTTAACAACCTACGAAAATATTTTAAAATATTAAGAAAGACAAAGCTCTGGTAAATTTGAGTATAGTCTTCTAAGAAGCTGATATAGCTCTAATCAACAAGAAGCAATATGAAACATAAAGATGAATTTCATAAGCAATGCCAGCAAAATAATCAAAATAGTGCTCACATTATTATGAATCCAAGGGTAAAACACAATCACAATGCTAAGCCATGAATATTATCAAAATAAGATGGCACTTTTATGCAATCTCTTAAGCAAATCAGGAAGCCCTCAATGAAGGCCACAGTGAAAATAATTGGCGGGGAGCCAAGACTCTGCACACCTCTCTTAAGTAAATCAGGAACTCTTCATTCCCTCAACGAACTCCACAATGAAAGAAAATTTGGTAGTGGACCAAGAATCAGCACACTTATCTGTCTATCACTCACCAAAACCTCACGGTGTGAAGTTCTGGCTCAAATTTGAGACCCGTCCATGGCCATTGACCAGAAAAAACTAACCACAACTACTAAATTATAACAAGGTGCAAGAATGCCCAGCTCTTGAAATTGCATTTCTCCCTTCAAAAGGAATCAATCTGTAATTTTGTTCCCATCTTCATGCACCTTGGGGAGATGAACGTAGTACTCTTAAAAATATGACAAAAATTACAAAGTAAATAGCATAAGCAGGAGAATCTCTTACTCCATTTTCATCCATTAGAAGATTGGCAGCTTTGAGATCCCTATGAATGATATTGTTTTGGTGCAAATAATTCATTCCCATGGAAACATCAATTGCAATTCTGAGCAAGGATGGAAGCTTAAAACCACCCTTTTGTTTTTGCAGAAAGTCATACATGCTTCCACCAGACATGAATTCTGAGAAGGGAATGTCCACAGAGAAAAACAAAAGAACTTAAAATAAAATTGGTCATATATCCAGAATAAAAAGTTTCAAGCACTTTAATGATGAGTATGGCGCTCAAATACATGTTAGTCATCTAAATATACCTGTCACAATGCACAGCTTTGGAGGTCTTGAACATGCACCAATGAATTGAACAACATTTTTGTGCCGAACTTTCCTACATATTTCAAAGCAAGAGTTTATAGAGGGAACATAAATATTCTGATGGCAGGATGCAGACAGTAGCATACATTTTCAATGCTCTGTAAGAAAAACAAATCCAAATTTGATAATCAAAGAGATCATAAGCTTCATACAGAGTTCACAGATATCAAATTATAATTTTACAATTGGAAAAAAAAAATGTTTATACAATTAGAAAAAAAAATGATTTCATTTTTAACTTTTGAATATTTCAAGCTCACTCACCGTTTATCTTAATATATGTTTTTCTAGATTGACAATTTTTAGCAAAAAAGTTTTTCTCCTGAGCTAAATTACAGAACTTGTTTATTATCCACATCCAATTATTGCTGCATACAAAGAAAAATAAAATGATAAAGAGGAAACATCATATCTCATCCAGTAGTTCAACACGTCCCCATCTTAATGGATATCAACATGGACAACTATGCTTACAAACAAGGAATTCCTAGTATGGTATAGCACACATAATTACACTAGTAAGACTTTTACATTTCCAAGCAGTAGGAGAATGGTTTCACCTGACAACCAGTACCTAATTGACTAGATAAAGATACATCTACATAACCATGAAAAGATTAAAGATCCTATCAAGTAAAATGTATATATGAGCATTAGTTGATTATAAAAATATGCTCATTACAGTCACAAGCAAACGGCACTTGTCCAGATAAAGTATCAATATATATGTGTGTGTTCCCTTGTAAGTGGAAACAAAAGCGAGCTCAGGAAAAGCAAAAATATGAGACCAATACCAATGACAGAAAATTTGATTTAACAAACCTCATAATATAGACTTCTTGAGCAAATTCCTTCTGCATGTTTTCGTTTAGATGCTCTACTGTAAGAACTTTAATAGCCACATCTTGGCTATAGAATGTACCTTTGTACCTGCATCAGTCAAAAGCATTCTATTAAGCTCTTACTCACAAACAGAAAAACTCTAACGGATGATAAAAACTCACAAATCACCATAGGATCCAGATGCAATTTTATATTCATATTTCAACAGGCTTGCATCAATTTCCCAAACATCAATTCCATCAGTAGGTAAATTCACATGGTAGATTCTGGTTTGTTCTTGCTTCCCAGCATGATACACACCATGCAGATGCTTCTGCACAGCACTTCAAGTTGTCAAATTTACGTAACTGCTAAAAGAATGAAAGAAGAAGTTAAACACAAAACTATATGCATCAAAGAGTTCGTGTAGATTTACAGGGAAGTATGAATTTTCTTCTACCACTTTCTCAGAAGTTATCACTAAGAAAAATTGGAAATAACTTAAAACAGTCACAGTCACAGTCACTGGGAAAATACAATGAGATAGCAACTCAGAAACTTCAGAAATTTCTATAAAATGACTAATAGGAATTATTTCTGGGCTATAATAAACCAGTGAAACTGAATTTTACATAAAATTCACGCCAGTAAAAACAACTTTTNTAGCAAAAAAGTTTTTCTCCTGAGCTAAATTACAGAACTTGTTTATTTTCCACATCCAATTATTGCTGCATACAAAGAAAAATAAAATGATAAAGGGGAAACATCATATCTCATCCAGTAGTTCAACGCGTCCCCATCTTAATGGATATCAATATGGACAACTTTGCTTACAAACAAGGAATTCCTAGTACGGTATAGCACACATAATTACACTAGTAAGACTTTTACATTTCCAAGCAATAGGAGAATGGTTTCACCTGACAACCAGTACCTAATTGATGAGATAAAGATACATCTACATAACCATGAAAAGATTAAAGATCCTATCAAGTAAAATATATATATGAGCATTAGTTGATTATAAAAGCATGCTCATTACAGTCACAAGCAAACGGCACTTGTCCAGATAAAGTATCAATATATATGTGTGTGTTCCCTTGTAAGTGGAAACAAAAGCGAGCTCAGGAAAAGCAAAAATATGAGACCAATACCAATGACAGAAAATTTGATTTAACAAACCTCATAATATAGACTTCTTGAGCAAATTCCTTCTGCATGTTTTCGTTTAGATGCTCTACTGTAAGAACTTTAATAGCCACATCTTGGCTATAGAATGTACCTTTGTACCTGCATCAGTCAAAAGCATTCTATTAAGCTCTTACTCACAAACAGAAAAACTCTAACGGATGATAAAAACTCACAAATCACCATAGGATCCAGATGCAATTTTATATTCATATTTCAACAGGCTTGCATCAATTTCCCAAACATCAATTCCATCAGTAGGTAAATTCACATGGTAGATTCTGGTTTGTTCTTGCTTCCCAGCATGATACACACCATGCAGATGCTTCTGCACAGCACTTCAAGTTGTCAAATTTACGTAACTGCTAAAAGAATGAAAGAAGAAGTTAAACACAAAACTATATGCATCAAAGAGTTCATGTAGATTTACAGGGAAGCATGAAATTTCTTCTACCACTTTCTCAGAAGTTATCACTAAGAAAAATTGGAAATAACTAAAAACAGTCACAATCACAATCACTGGAAAAATACAATGAGATAGCAACTCAGAAACTTCAGAAATTTCTATAAAATGACTAAGAGGAATTATTTCTGGGCTATAATAAACCAGTGAAACTGAATTTTACATAAAATTCACGCCAGTAAAAACAACTTAGAACTGAAAAAAATTACTAAATTAAGCAAAAATAAAAACAGTCTTTCCCATACCACAAGCAAAATAAATCCAAGGATATAATTACAATTATAATTGGAAAGACAAGCAGTAAGTAAAGGGACTACCTCAACCTTTGCTATTTCCTCTACCAGCACATTTCTCAACTGCTCAGCATCCTATATATGAGCATACAGGTCAATTGAAGAGGTGAGAACAAATTCATAATTTAATATGGCATTGTTAAATAATACAAGAGAACCGAAAAACAAGTAACTTGAAACACTACATCTAGAATAGTATTTCACCATGAATCAAAAACCAACCTTCATGCGATACAAAGAAGATGAATACTTTAGCTAGATTATTATAAATTTTATTTGAACAAAAGGAACATTCTCCTAGGACTAATAATTTGTTACAATATTATTATAACTAATAAAGAAATAAAATACCTCAAGTGACCAACCATCAACAACAAACACATCCAAGGAGTAGCCATCTACAGTGGAAAATGCATGTGCTTCTTGAATGTTCAACCCGATATCGGACAGTAAGGAAGTCAGCTGAAAATTCAATAGAGAAATTTTAACAGCAAATTGAGAAACATTACTTTACAGAAGCAGCATTATTTCATGTTGACTAAACCGTCAAACCCACCTGCCAAATAATTAATTTGAACGATAAGATGCAAAAAGACATGTTTTTAGGAGATGGGTGGGGATGACAGCAAACCAGATAAATCCGAAGATGTCATAGTTGCTAATTTTTTTATAACAAGCAAATTTGATAGAAATACAACAAGATTATGCGCATAGATGATAAGAAAAGCTGGCTAGAAATAACCAAATGACATTAGCTACCTGACTGAGAAGTTTTGGCTTGTCATTTGTCGAAATTGTAATTTCATGCATTACCCTACAAAATTGTGAAAGCATTGAAATGTTATTCTACCCAAAAAATTTAGAAGTTTCTAGCAATTGATAAGATCATCTCAAAATTAGGGAAGGCATTTAAGAACAATCTACCGAGAGTTAAATTGATAGGAATTCATGGTAACATCGTTATCTTGAACATCAGATCTGTTGGCTACATTTACAAGCTCTAGATCTGGTGATGAACCAAAGGCAGGAGGTGGATGCATGCTGAAAACAGAGAAGAGAGAAGCAAAAGGTAGATAAATAATATGATTAAAATCTAAAAGGCCTTGAAATTTGACAACTAAAGATAAAAGAACAAAACATGCCTCTGGTAGTTGGGATAGCCAGAATATACAGTATCTATTTTTCTCGGAGAGTTTGAATGAAGCGACTCACTAAAATGACTTGAAGAAGCAGAATGCACCTGCACAAGAGAAAGATTGTCAAAATGTGAGCTAAGAGTGACAAAAAGTACTGTATGATCTCCAAGGATAATAATTGTACAAATTTGACATAACTTACATGAACACAAAGCAGCAAAGACTAACGAAGCATCCATATGATTTTAAGAAAGAAAAGAAAACTTTACTTGGAAGGAACATAGAAATACCTGCACAAGCCGGACTTTAATTGCAGGTCTAGTTGCAGGGTCATGCGCCATATGCAGTAATCTTTTGTGCATCAGAACATCTTCTGCCCTCTCCACATTCACGTCCAGTGCATACCTTCATAATCAAGAATAATAATTTAATTATTCCTTATACAAAGCGATGAAATAATGACATAGCGATCAAAACTTTTAAGTTTTAAGAAATTTTTTAAATGGTCCAAACGACATTTCTTTTTTCTTTTTATTTTACCTACTCAGAGATAAAAGAAAATCGATTTATTATTATTTATTTATTTTCCTTTCAAAAATTAGTATTATCCCCATACAAGATTCAAAAGAATATGGTCGGTGATCAAGCCAAACCACTACTGTTACAAATGAGCCATCGTAATCACCGTCCATTCCTTCACTGGAAAATCAAGATAAAGTAATTGACTGAATTACGTTTAATCTTCGTTTCATAAACAAGCATAANGTCCAGTGCATACCTTCATAATCAAGAATAATAATTTAATTATTCCTTATACAAAGCGATGAAATAATGACATAGCGATCAAAACTTATAAGTTTTAAGAAATTTTTTAAATGGTCCAAACGACATTTCTTTTTTCTTTTTATTTTACCTACTCAGAGATAAAAGAAAATCGATTTATTATTATTTATTCATTTTCCTTTCAAAAATTAGTATTATCCCCATACAAGATTCAAAAGAATATGGTCGGTGATCAAGCCAAACCACTACTGTTACAAATGAGCCATCGTAATCACCGTCCATTCCTTCACTGGAAAATCAAGATAAAGTAATTGACTGAATTACGTTTAATCTTCGTTTCATAAACAAGCATCAAAAATTGTGAAATCTCTAAGTTGTCTTGAAGCAAACACAAATATAATGTAAATAACAATAAAGAAATATAAATAAATTCTAATTTTCTCACAGTTGGAAAAAAACAGAAGAAAAAAAAAAAAAAAATCAATGTAAAGCTAGGTTTGAGTACCTATTGGGGAGTCGATAAAAATGAGTCCATAGTTCATCTTCAAAACCAGGTTGCCTTGTCTCTTGTTCATTCGTTTCTTTTAGTCTACAAAGAACCTCGTGATAAACTTCAACTTTCTGTCTCTGCTTTCTACTCTGACTCGGTGCAAAATCCACAGCTCTACTACTGCAACTCTCTGCATCTCCCATCACCATAAAAACCGCATGAAATCAACAGCCAGAAAGGAAAACAATCCGTTGAAGGTCCTAATAAGAAAGTCTAGTGATGATCACTGGTTCCTGAGTCATTTGCATGTAAGAGAGAAGAAGAATATCATGTTTCTGGTTCTTCTCCCAATCTCATGGGCCATGGCTACTTTGAATCTTCTCTTTCTTTACTTTAATTATTTTTTTAATTTTCCCTCTCCATCTTTCTCTCCCTCCATCTCTGCTATCTTATAAACGTGATTAATTTGAAGGTTAATTAGAACGTTAAATAATGGCCTAGTGCGCACCCATAAGCGCGTATCTACGTGGATTCTAACAATGCTTTCTTGCTTTGCTTGTATCACCCTCTAATCTTTTTTAATTTAATTAAAGCGGTAATTAAATACAATTAATCAATCAATTAACGAAAGGATCTTATCCTTTAATATAATCCGCTGATTACATCACGCACCCCCACTTCTACTCAAATCCAATAGGCTTCCTTCGTTGTTTCATCTCCCACTAAATTCTAAAGGGATATTATAAAACAGCTTTGATCTGACCATTAAATTATGGGTTGTTGAGATACCCTCTAAACGTCATTGGAATCATGATTCCATTCCCTATTAATCCTTCTAGAGATTATAGGATTAATGAAAATAGAAGCCTGAGCTGGCGCACCAAGGAAATGATCGTTCAACTAATCACAGATATAGCAAAAATTGCCTTCTCAGGAAATCCTGGCACCTTGGACTTGCCGGGGAAAAATGATGTAAAGTTTCTATAAACTATTTATGCAGGACAGAGATCAATTAACTAAACTATTTTCAATAACAGATTCCTTATCTATCTAACTCCGATCTGGATAAAGATGGATGTTGACTTCACAACCTCCTTGTACAATTTTCTTAAGGAACGTGCCTAAAAACTTATATACCCACCGATGGTTGGCCCATGGTAAGGGCGAAACAAAGGGCTGGTGTAGGCTCAACTTACAGCTTTAGGTTTGATTATTCTAGACGTAAAAGTAGTATCTTTGTCCATGATTTATCTGAGTTGCAATGGGTTTTATGATTCTAAAAAGCAAGGGTAATGGATTCTGGGATTGTATAGAGATGGTGGAGTGACATTTATTGTACTTTGCTGGGTAAAGTATTTTGGTTAGTATTGTATATTATATTTGATTATAATAATATGATATGATGAAGGTGGGGAAGATGCTCTTCCACTATGAAAGGTAGCCTATTAGGAGACGAGACAGTAGCTTGTTTCTGAGGATGTTTCAGCTTGCAGCACATGCCCCACTTTCCAAAGGAATCGCGCTTGGAGTTTTGAGTTGGACCTAGAGCTGGACCATCCAGGTAGAAATTAGAATGAATGGTTGGATCATATGTTCCACGTTGTAATTTCAAACTTCAACAACCCACGTCATCATTCACTGTGACTGTGGCCTCCCTGCTTTGTGTCATTTTTTGTATCTTTGACTTGGTGAAACTAGAAGCCAAAACCAAAACCTATTCATAGTCATTTTTTGTATCATTGTCACCGGCAATGATTCTTCGATGATAAATTCCTGTCCAAGTCCGGTTTTAATAGGCCTTGACAGTAATGGCTTTAGTGATAGAATAATTCTGGTAAGTGGGCTCTGATTGTCCGAGTCCAGTGATAAAGAGAGTGTTGCAATTGGGTTGATTGTTTGCACTTTGCAGCTGTTGAGCGGCAGGTGTGATCCGACCCGCAGCGGTTACCGAGCCCACCTCTTGGTCGAAAAGCTGGCCCAACCAGCCATGATACAGGCCAGGCCGGGTTAACCCACACTTTTTTTTTAATTTTTTCATGAGTTTATGCATTGAAGAAACTATGATAGCCGACCTAAGCGGAACCAATCAACACAACGATCGGTCTAACTAATGGTCAAGACCCTCTTTTTATCCCACACACACGTACACTCACGCAGCTTCTAAAATCATCTAAAGGGCGTGAAAATTAAACAACAACATAAATGGAGAGCATAAATATAAATGAAGAACATGTACAAAAATGAAGAACAAGAACATAAAGGAAAACATAAATATTAAACATGTTAAAGAACATAAATTAAAACATATATGAGATCTTTTGCTATCTATAACATTTTCAGAGTATTACATCACCCTTGAGGTTGAAGAAAACTTAGAAATATGAAAGAAACATGGAAGAAGTATAGTAAAGATGTGATACTCCACCTTTGAGTTTTCGACAAACTCAATTCATGATTACTCCGGTCATACCCACTACCACAGTACGGGAACCTGGACTTTCCATTCATTCTTTTCAACAATCTGGTGCTCCTGTCTACCATCAATATGATCCAGTCACTGGTCACACTCCATTTGATCTTGACTGCCAATGCTCGGAATGCCGTGATGATCCTATTTGGGAAATCGATGAGCATTATCTTCCAAGACAAAACTATTTCAACCAAAAAAAGAAGAAAGCTCGCTGCAATCAAACAGATCTTCATTCCCGATTTGAAGAATATGATCCTGAAGTTGGTCTTCTTGGTCAACCATCTGGTAAATTTGACTATTATGTCAAATATTCTCCACCAGCCAGAAAGGATTCACCATCCAATAATCCCTCATGGGACATCCCTCTGAAACCTCAGCCCAAATCACCTTTAAAACTATCAAAACCTGCCAAATCACCTTACTTCAAACAGCCTTTACCATGTTATCAACAGTCTCTACGGTGGAAATAAATGATGGTGTCCTTTATGTAAAATAGGAATGGACTAAATGGCAATTTGCCTTTTCATTGTAATATTTCCCGTAGCCATTGTAAAAAGTCAAGTATTGTAAGCTTTTATTTTGTCAACAATTTTAGGCTACTTAATTAAAAAAAAAAAAAAAAAGTTAGCCTTGTAATTAATGCCTCATTTATGAGTGTTTGTCTCCCTTGTATCTATAAATAAAGGTTTTTCCCTTCTCGGGAGGAGGAGGAACTTGGTTGTAAACTTTGAAAACACTTTTGTTTATTTCTCTCACTCTTCATTTCCATATTTTCTCTACACTTCCATACTTTCTCTACACATCTTTACTACATTTCTTCCATGTTTCTTTCATATTTCTAAGTTTTCTTCAACCTCAATGGTGATGTAATACTCTGAAAATGTTATAGATAGCAAAAGATCTCATATATGTTTTAATTTATGTTCTTTAACATATTTAATATTTATGTTTTCCTTTATGTTCTTGTTCTTCATTTTTGTACATGTTCTTCATTTATATTTATGCTCTCCATTTATGTTGTTGTTTAATTTTCCAACCCTTTTAGATGATGTTAGAAGCTAGGGTGGGACGTGTGTGGGATAAAAGAAGGGCCTTGACCATTATTTAGACGAGCGTTTGTTGTTAGTTTCGTTAGGTCGACTATATTTCTTTCTTGGTTGTGAGAACATCTGGGAATTTTTGCAATTCATTAGCAATATGAGGCGAGATCATACTTGCCCCTAACATATCATACATGGATTGACACATTTTTCAACGATTGAAGTTGGTAAGAAAACATGAGGGTGGTAGCATTTTCATCAATGGTACGTGTTTGAACAAGGTATCGAATTCAGGAGGTCACTGGAATATGGTTTGGTGAAGAGGATGATGAACAGGAACTGGACTGGGGTAATGGTTGAAACATGAAACATGGAAGAGGTTTGGATTAGGGTCGGTTAAATAATGTAAGCCCTCCTTTTATCCCACCACACGTTACACCAAGCAGCTTCTAACATCATCTAAAAGGGCTAGTGAAAATTAAACAACAACATAAATGGAGAGCATAAATATAAATGAAGAACATGTACAAAAATGAAGAACAAGAACATAAAGGAAAACATAAATATTAAACATGTTAAAGAACATAAATTAAAACATATATGGGATCTTTTGCTATCTATAACATTTTCAGAGTATTACATCACCCTTGAGGTTGAAGAAAACTTAGAAATATGAAAGAAACATGGAAGAAGTATAGTAAAGATGTGTAGAGAAAGTATGGAAGTGTAGAGAAAATATGGAAATAAAGAGTGAGAGAAATAAACAAAAGTGTTTTCAAAGTTTACAACCGAGTTTCTCCTCCTCCCGAGAAGGGAAAAGCCTTTATTTATAGATACAAGGGAGATAAGCACTCATAAATGAGGCATTAATTACAAGGCTAACTTTTTTTTTTTTTTTTTTTTAATTAAATAGCCTACAATTGTTGACAAAACAAAAGCTTACAATACTTGACTTTTTACTATGGCTACGGGAGATATTACAATGAAAAGGCAAATTGTCATTTAGTCCATTCCTATTTTACATAAAGGACACCACCATTTATTTTAAGACACGCAGATCTTTAATCGTCTGACAAGTTGGTAACGTGCCACGAGTCTTCATCCTGGAAGTCGAGACAACCCATTGATTGAATCTAGTCAGCAGGGATTTGTTGGGGAGATGTATCTGGATCTGCCAGGTCTCTCAAAAAAGAGCTCATAAAATTGGAAAAGACGGGATTTTCTGAAGAGTCAGGATTTGCAGAAGGTTGGTAGTCTTCCATCATCATTATGTGCATTTGAGCCTTATCCTTAGATAAAGGACGATAAGGCTTAGGAGATAGAGGATCTGAGTTTATCCCCAACATTTCTCGTTTCACTACTCCACTTTCCCAGATGCTTAAGAAGAATCCTCTAGAATGGTCTGAAAAGCAGACAAATGCAGTCAAGAGTCTCAAATTGTTTTTAGTTAATTTTTCAGATATCAATAATTCAATTCAATTTTTTTTTTTTTTTTGTTAACGTTTTAAATATTAATTCAATTTTAATACAACAAAATTGTAATATAAGAAAAATTAGATTTATTTATTTATCAAAAAATAAAATTTGACTGATAGAAAGAGGTCATGAACAATACCTAGTTTTTGTCTTTAAGGATGTGTCAATAATATTCATATCACACGCCATTGTGAAATTCAATGTAAATTTCCAACAATAGTATTTCTACTTATAATGAAAATTTATTTAACTTTATCCTTTTTCAGTCAAATTTTGGTAACTGGCAGTGAAAAAAAGGAAAATTTAAATATTTTTCTTAACCTTTTGATTTAGCATATCATATTTATTATCATTAATAAAGATAACCGTAGCATATCATATTGTGCATGTGTCGAAATCAAGTCTCTCTTTCTAGATTTTGATTATTGATTTGGTAATAATTCTAGAATGTTGAC